GAAAACATTGGTGAATGTCACAAATTCTCCTAAATCACTCGTACGCACAACTTGAGAACAAATCTGTGCGTACGAACGGTTCTTGCATGAGGCCCATTGTTCTTCATTGATGGAGCCTGCCTAGATGTGTAAGCTGCCCAAACCAGAGGCACCAATGTACCTACATATCATCAGAGAGGCAAGCTTTTGAATTGTGCACTGATAACAGTCTGGATAGTCCAGAGGACATTATGTCTGTAATTTCCAAAAAGAAATTCAAATTTTGATTTGTCTGATCACAGAAGTGATTTCCACCTTGTCTTAGTTTATTTTAAACAGGCTTCAGTACAGAGAATATGGTGGAGTTTCTGGATGGTTTGCCCACGCAGCTATGTCCATAATAGAATAATTGTTTTTAATGCAGTGGTCCCTGAGGGTCCAAAGATCACAGGTATCTAATAGTGACTTCCAGTCTTGTCCTTTGAGCTCAGAGTTTTTTTTTCCAGATTCTTGAAATATCAATGATGTCATGAACTTTATTTGATGTCTAAATTCTTGGCAATTTTCTATTTTTATTCTGAGTTGTTCCACTTCTTTTAGGCAGATTTTCACAAACTGATGAACTTCTTAACATCTTCACTTCTGGGAGTTTCAGCTTCTCTAAAATGCTGTTTCACTAACCAGTCCTGTTATCTAGTTAGCTGTAACTGTAAAATGCTCGTCCAATTTTTTCTTATTAGTTACACCTCTTGATGCTCCATCCCCAACTTTTTTCAGATGTGTTACTGCCATCAAATAGTTTTTCCTGATAATTTTACATTTTCCTAATTTAAACATGTTAAATGTTTACTATGTTTTATTGTAAATAAAATATAGGTTTATAAGATTTGCAAATCTTTTATTCTGTTTTTTAATTTTCCACAATGTCTGAACTTTTTCAGAATTGGAGTTGTACTTAATTGGAGTTGTACTTGTCTATTTGTCTTCCTCCTGTTATTCATGTCAAAGCTAGTTCAGATACATTTTTGTCTGTTTGTTCACTTTTTCTCCCCTACATTTGTTTGAATTTTACTCATTTGTAGTGCCATCATCATTTACCCCCTCCTAATTGTATTTCTTCTTTTCCAATGACCTAATGTTGCCTTTATAATTCTGTTGAAGGACCTGGATAAGTCCCATTCCCAGACTGAGATCATGCGTCACCACACCAGTATCAGTGAGCTGAAGAGAAGTTTTATGGAGTCTGTTCCGGCATCTCGGCCCAGTGAGTGGGACAAGCGTCTTTCCACCAACTCACCGCTTCGCACAGTGAGCATCAACGGCCAGCTGCAACCAGCGGTGAGTCTAACAAACTGTAGGGAGGTATTGATGTTGGTGCAGTCCCTGGGAAAATATTCAGTTAGCAATTCCGGGGACAGCTATTTTGTTTTTGTAGAAAAACAAACAAGATTAAAAAAAACCTTTGCTTTCCTTGAAGAATTGCAGATCCCAGCCACCTTTCATGCCAAAGTTTTAAATTAGATTATCTTGTGTTGAGAAAGTTATGGCTGTTTTAGTCAAATCTGGAAAATGATAGAAGGAGAAGAAGGGTTGTACATTCCACATTAAATCCTAATATCTGTCAAACTGAATGAGTTATAGCCAGCTTTGAGTTGACTTTGTTCTATTGTTCCTGCCATTTTAAAATGAATTAACTCTGAATGTTAATCAAATGTAGATGTACATCCAATAATAGGTTTCTGAAAGTTTAATTAAAATCTGTCCTTTGTTTTATGATTTTGTATCAACAGAGATGAATCTAAGGTTAATACCAAAGATATACCCATTATTATGTTGATAAGATGAATGGATGGATGGATGGATGGATGGATGGATGGATGGATGGATGGATGGATGGATGGATGGATGG